AATATATCATAAATATGCACATTTCATCTGTGTTGTCTGAGTGCCAAGCACTTTTAGGAGTCATTGCTTTATCAATAACTACAATGTGGGTTTCAGGGTAGAAATGGTTCTAAATTGGTTTCGAATTTCACTATGATAACAATCATAATGTTCCCGATATGAAATACGTGTTCTGTCTTGCTTTAACTGTGAATGAGGTCTAAGGTAGAAGATGACTGCTCAGTCATCTTGGCAGAAGATGCCATGCTGCCAACCAAAAGGAGATGCACATGAACACTACACTTGCACCTTCTTTGAAGAATCTCAAGAAACACAATATGAAAACATTCATGCAGAGATCAAAAAACAATCCTTATTTTCTAAATATGGACTATGTTAATTAGTCTTGATTTTAAGTGAAAATACATTTGGCTCTTGTATAAACTGGCAATCCATGGTGTGACATAATATATTAATATTAAAGACTCAGGTCTATCAAACTTTCTTTGACACAGAATTCAAAATAAATATTGTGATTTTTGCATAGTTTGCTAGCTACTCTTCCTGTTTGCTCAATTTTGGCCTTATTGGGAATCTTTCCCATCATACTTTGGAGAATATATATTCATTCAAATGTTGGGATATATATATTCAAAAGCTTCCTAATGTTGCATTAAAATCTTAACAACAGTTATGACAATGTATTACCTCCAAATAAATAAATAAAAACTATTAAAAAGTATTACACACACACACAAAAAACACATTAGGAGGAAGCAACTGCTACTCCTACCCCTTTTTTTCCTTTTTCTCAGAACTCTGGCTAAAATCTGTACTTTTTGGTCAATTGTTCTTTGACTAAGTGCCTTTAGATATAGTACAAGTTATGACCTCATTTAAATAATAATTCAGTAATAATATAAAAACCAGAGTGGAAAGTGAGCTAACTCTAAAAAAGCTTTGTATAGTGTCACTGAGGTCCTTCACAGTTGCTATGAAAAAAAGTAGAATGGTTTTTCCCCTGGTTACCTCCGCTATGTTACAATCAAAGTGAAAACAAAATGATTTGGGCTGAGGATTCCAGAGTATAATGTTGTAATACCTTGTTTTTTCCCCCTATCTCTAGACATTAACTTTAAAAATTCTAAAAAGGTAGAACAAATAAGTCACATTCAGAAAATTGACATTTTTTTGGTTAGAGAAAATTATTTAAACTCTCTGAAGTAAATATTCTTACCACAGCTTATTAAATTTGGAAATAACACAGATTGCCATTCGAAACAGAAATAGTTCTCTTGATAATGCATTTAATAGTGTTTTGGCCAAGAAGCCAACATCAGTGTAATCAATAAAAAGGTCTGTGTTAATCTTTTTAAAACCCAGTCAGTCAAAAAAAAATTAATTCTTTCTGGGGTATCATCTAAATCCCAATGTTAAAAATAAAGAGAAATTATAGAAAAAATCCAGAATGTCTCTTGCTTTCCTTGCCTATCATACATTACTTTTTTAGATTAAAATAGAATTAGAAAAGGAAATCCTAATACCAATGACCACAACTTGCCTCTTACTAATAACCACATGTGGCAATTTACCTCCACTAATGCCTTTCAATTGTTGGGAGAAGTTATTGAAAATTCCATTACTGGATGGGGCACCTTGTGCTTGTAACAGTTATGACTTCAACCTCTGTTATTTAAGGTACTATGAAAAAAATCAAACATTTACATTTATATTATAGAGTGAAATTTTTAAGAATTATTTTCATTTTGGAACCTGTGAAAGTACATGTCTTGAAAAACTTGGAATTTGTGTTTGAACTACATAGGCTTGCAATGTCACTATTCTATAAGATGAAGTTTTCTCTAGTGTTTGCCTGTGTTAGAATCTTAACTTTACCCCTCAGTGGTGGCTATGTTAACCTGACAAGTTCCTTAATCTATCCTTCCATAGGGCTGTTGCAAGAATGAAATTTGATAATCTAAATAAAGTGTTTAGCACCATGTAAATAGAGTGAGTACTCAATAAATATAAGCTTAATTAACTTACTGAACTTCTAAGCCTGAAGGTAAAGCAGCACATAGATTCCACTCAGTCTTCTCTCAGGCTTTGCCTTCATCATCTTCCTTTTCCCAGTCCAAATCCTCAATGGTCCTGACCCTCATAAAGCATGCAAATGCATAGGTCTCATCATAAAAATAAAGAGATAGAAAATCTCAAGTTAGAATACAGACCAATACTCTTGTAACATCTGGCACATAGTAGGCACTAAAAAATTGTAGCTCATATCCCGCTTTCTCTACATAACGTAAATCATAATAATTACATTAAAATGTAAGACCAACTGCAAATTCTAGTGCCATCTAAACAAGTATGTCAACATAAATGTTTACCTATTTTCTCTTAAATAATTTCTCAATTTAACATTCCCAACTCCATCATGTGGCTTAATAAATTTAAATACTCTACGAAGAATGAAAAACTTAACTGTCTTCCTCTATGTAAAAGAAGATGATTTGTTTGGTTATGTGTTATTGTGTATACCCCCAAGTGTTTTGGGGAGGTGGAGAAGGGCAATGAAGACATGGTAGAACTCCATAGTGTTTCAATGGTCTTTGGACTTGGGTGAGAGATATTTTCTGCCCTCACTGGATGTCCAAGAATCAATTATTTGATGTACATGCTTTGAAGATTAAACTTAATAATAATTAACATGGGCACTATTTAAGAAATTGATTTGTTTGCTATAATTAGACATTGTAATTCTATTACTTTGTGAATAAAGAATGGTTTTTTAAGTACTTCTCATCTTCACAAACTTTATTGCCCCCAAAAGATTTTTAACATTTTCAAATATTACTACATATTGCTAAAATTATAATTATAAATTCCTTTATCATGAAAACAAAAAAGATGAAACTTATAATTTCATAAATGTTTATCTTCATTATTTCCAATGTAGAAAAGGACCTATAGTCATAAATTTTGTCTTTTTTGTCTTTTTTTTTTTTAGTGGTTTGGGGGAAAATAAGTATCTCAAAGATGGAAAATAAAACCACTGAAATTCAAAGCATTTTATCCTTAAAAAAAGTCTATTGATTTTTAAATTTTAAGCATACTGAATAACACATTTCCAGGAAGAGAATGACAAGCAAAGTCATTATTTTTAGCATCTAAATCTCTAGATCTAGAAATATTCTAAATGAGAAAAGTTGGGTAAAATCCAACTTTTTACAGGAGGTAAAAGACCTATAAATTTGTGAAAAGTTAATAGCCATCTTTTGCTGGGGGAAAAAAAAAGGTGAATGACAAATGCCAAAATGGAAGTCAATAAAAGTAATGTAAAACAATGTACACCAGTAGAGCTCATAGAAAAACATTCTATATGATCTCAACAGAGTTGATCTGATTGCACTCATAAGCACCATACTTAGACCATGCTTAGAACCTATCTAATTGCAAAGCCCATTATGTTCCTCTTTGTATATGTGTTACAAATATGGAAAGCAAATTCTGATTTGGACTTGCTTGAGCTCATGTAGCCTGGCATAAAACCTACTTAAAACCTGTTTTTGTTCTGATCATGTAGCCCCACATACATCACCTCTTGGTTTGTTTTCCTTAGACTAAGATGAACATTTCCTATAATGTCAAATTGATCTCTTAAAAATGATATATATCATGCCACAGTTGTAAGACTTTTTATTATCTAGGCTGCTAACAACATTTAGGCTGTAAGTACAAAGTTTACACTGAGAGCAAGTTGATTGAAAATATTTATTTATATATGTAACGCAACTTTGAGTTGGAATGCCAAAGGCCTATCAGAGTGGATACAAATATAAATGTTACGAACCATTTAAGCAAATAAATCAAAAGGATTACAATGGATAGTAAAAAGTCATGGTCAATGATGACCAACTCCCTTAAATCTCCTTTAATTATTCTTGAATATATCAGACATGTATAATTAATTCTTCTTTGAGAAATAGTGTCTGATTTAAAAATAATGTCTAATTCCTAATTCGTAATAACATTTTTAAAATTCTTACTTGATGGTAAGATTAGAAAACCCAATAAGAGATCTAAATATCTCTTCTAGAGGGGTCACAAAATTGTCCCCTTTGTTTCTATGTGCTCTTATTTTCTTTACTCAGAGAGTTGTGGCAAATGAAATGATGAGAGGTTTGAGTGTGTCCCTTAGGATACAAGACTGTCTTTGCAGAATGAACAAATGTTAACAAAATGAATCTCATTAAAAAAAATGTTTACATGCTATAAGTGGCTTTCTTAAGTTACCAATATTACTAGTCACATTATAATTTTTTAAATTCAAACATTCTCACTAGGACACAATAACATGAGTGATTTTTCAATGTAATTAAAATGTTTTTCCTTTTTTTTAAACCTTTTAAAACTTTTTCAATTCAAGATATACATTGAAAAACTGGCCGTTGGAAAGGATTCTTTCTGAGCTAAAAATTTTAAGAACATCTACCCCCATGGAGTCATATATCTTCAGTAAGTCATGATTGTTTTTACATAAAAAGCTTGAAAGATTAACTGTTCTATACTTTGAATACTCACCAATTTGTTTACTTATTCTCACAAAATTAAAATTTCTGCTGAGCAGTATAAGAAAAATCATAAATTTACATATATCTTTTTCTTTTATTTCTTTCTTCTCTCAAATGACCTTCATTCTTTCCTTGTTTACATGATTAATAGTTCTAAATTCCCAGATAATTTTCAAGTTGTTTGCTCACATGCCACTGGCTAATAATTATTTAGTCACATATGCCTTTCCCCACCAAGCTCTGACCAAAGAAGTCTTCTCTAAGAATATTCAGA